TGTCCCATCAAATAACGCTGCCATCAAATAACACTGGAAACCAATGGCTTCCTTTTAGTGGGTTGAGAGAGAATGCGCAGGAGGAAGCTGAGTTATTTTTCCGTTCAGACTTACAGTCCGTTCATGCTACAAAAAAAATGCCTTGTCCTACCCTGCTTATTATTATCTCAGTATTACTTATCCTCGGCAGATTCACCTTGCAGAGGATCCCTGATGTGAAGAAATCTCCTTTTTCTTTTTTGTGTGCAAACCCCTGCCTCCCCCATCCCCCCATTCCTGCGTAGCTTGTAAATGCTAAAGGTTACAAAATCCATCTTTCCTCTAAGAAAGCAACTTAATTAATGTGAAAGTTTCTCTCGCAGAGGGAACCCTTAGCAGATATGCAGTCCTGTATTGCAGCCAGCTCCCCTCTTCCCTCCCAACGCACACACCCCCAAACCACTTTAATTTTTCTGCCAATATTGGACAAATGTAACAGGCTGACTTTTTAATTTTCTACTCCCAGGTCTCCCTTGTCCCTTCATGCATTTTTCATCACAACTCGCAGCTCCTTCCCTGCCTGCCCTGTGAACAATATTGATCGACTGATTAAGCCATCAAGCCATGGCAAACAACTTTAATTTTCTAACCAAAGCCTCTTAGTTTTCTTCCTTTTTTTTTGTATTGTTGTTACCTTCTTATGGAGTTTTTAATATTTTTTTTTCCCCTAACATTTTTTCTTAAATGAATCTCTTGGGTAAGCAGAAAGATCGTGCCCTCCTGATACCTGTTAAAATAATAACTAGTGAAACATTTAAAAGCTACAGCTGGGGCTGCCAGATCTTGTATTTTCACCTGACTGGGAGAAAATCAGGATTACTCCTACCCAGACATTTTGGGCAAGGGTCTGGAAAGCGTGAGTGTTGCTTGCTGTTCTCACTTCTCTGCTCCAAAGATGTCACCCGCCCCAAAGCAATGGGCTTAGTCACTGACTTGCCTGTGAAAAGAAGATGAAGGGCAGCACAGAGGTGTAGTGTGCTTTATCGCATCCAGCCATTTCACATGCTCTATCTGGGACTCTTTGATTCTGTCAGTGCCTTTGCAGACATGAGTCTGAGGCATCTCTACCCTTTTCATGTCCTCTTATGCCAGGAAAATGCCATTTAAGCTTACAGGTTCTTGCTCTACAGAACTGCGCAGGAGGGGCGAGGGGACCTGCCAGTGGTGTTTCAAAATCAGCCACAGGGATCCTTAATGAAGAGTTTTGAGGCTCAAATTGAGAGCTGCTATTTGAAAATTTTCACAGCATCTTAGAATGTGATGTTGATGGTGCATTTCAAAGCAGCTGAAGGTAAGGAGCCAATTAAAGCACATCTCTTTGTGTAAGAATGAATTGAACTGCTTTTTCTATTGCTCAGGAGCATCAAATACAGATAACGATGAGCATTTTCTCGACAAAGTTTTTGAGTGCAACAACGTTTTCTTACAAACTTTGCCAATCAAGTAACATGCAGAGGGGCTGGCGCCAAAGTGTTGCAGTTGGGATCATAGAAAAAATGTAATTTATTTTCGTCACTAGCCCTTGCATCATGCATTTCCCCTCCCTGTGCACTCTTAAATAGACCCCAGTATTTTGGTAATATCCCAAAATATCCCAGACAGCAGATGATTCTCTACAACTGGAAACCGCTCAGATTATTGGACACGTGAGCCCTTAGATTTCTTCTGTTGTTGTCACTTAAGATGCAGTTCAAACCAGCCAAACACGATCTAAAAATGGCACTGAGTAACCGTCTTATGAATTTCCATATAAAATGTTGAAGTTAAGAGATGCATATGTCACTCCCCCAACTCCCACCTCTCACCGTTGTCTTTGCAAACACACTCCGGGTTGTGAAAGGCAAGCAGAGATCTAGGAGAAATTGGAGAGCATCCATAGGCAAGCAACAAAGGTGATGAGGGAGTTGGAATAGAAGCTGTATGGGGAAAGGTTTGACGGAGCCAGATACGTTTAGCTTGGAGAAAAGGTTTTGAATATTCACAAGGCTGCCAGAAAGGAGATGGAAGATCATCGTTCTCCATTGGCAGAGGAGAGAACCTGCAGCAGCATTTTTAAATTGCAGGTAAGCAGTGTTAGATCAAGTCTCAGGGCAAGTTTGCTAACTAAGAGGAGTGGAACGATGGAAGAAGCTGTCTAGGGAAGCTGGAGAATCTTTTGCATTGGAGGTTTTCAGTAAGAAGCTGGAGTGGCATCTGTTTGGG